TGCCCAGCATGTTCATCCAAGTATTTATCAACTCAAAGACTAGTTCAAGTTTGAATTTTTTTAACCAATTTAAACAATGATCTGATTGAATCTAGATGACCCAGTGAATTAAATTGCAGTCATGTTGACTTGAAAAAATCCATATGAAACTTATCAAGTCAACTCCAATGATTTTTTTATTCCAAATAGTATCATTTTAATATTTTTTATTTGAAATAATATTATTTTATTTAAAAACTATTTTTTAATTTTTTATTTAAAATGAAATTGTTTTAGGATTAGGCCATATTTATTTTTTAAAAAATAATTTTTGGAAAATCACTTTCTAATTTTTTTTGTGTTTATTTGCAATTAAAAAAGTTGATAAACAAAAAACACTTTTAAGTTAAAAAACAATTTATCTTAGTTTTTAAAAATATTTTTCTAAAAAATTTAAACAAAAAATATTTTTTGAAAGCTGTGAAAAATTTAGAAATGTCATATTATTTGCTAATTACATCAAATTTGGTCCTTAAAAAATTTTTATTCATGAAATCAATATATTAAAACTTTCTAATAGCATTAATTTGATTACTTTTAAATGAAACATGTACCAAATAACACAAGCTATGCACTTTCAGAGACTCACTTAATTAGATTAGATTTGACAACTATAATCTAAACCAAATCAATCATATGGTAAGTATTAAAAATAAAATAAAATAAAAGTCCGCATTCACTTTTCATAAGTATTTAGTGCGATCCAATCAGTTACATTCCTGGAACAAAAAACTCACTTTGATATCTGGCTCGAGTTCACGTCGACAGAGTGGGGTCAATCGTCAACGTTAGAATACTAGTAGACTGCTTTCTGCAAGTAGGAGATCCTGTGGCCGACAACGGACGGTCTTGAAGAGATCATGTATGCAATCACCCGTTAACTCAACTACTAATTGAAATGAAAGAATTTAGAGGGGCCAGGGGCTGTTGACCGTTGATACATGCTTGCCTGAATAGATCAAGGCGGTGTTGTTTATAGTGCTGTTAAGGGTATTTTTTAAAGTATTTTTTTTATTTTAATATATATTTTAATAATATTATTTTTTAAAATTTATTTTTAATATTAATATATAAAAAAATATTCAAAAACAAAAAAAATAATTTTAATTGTTTTAAAAATATATTCAACGGCGATTCCACATAAATATTAAAAAAAAATAAAAGAGAAAAGGAATGGAGGTGGAATTACATGACTGATGTCCAAGTTACTAACATATTACATTTCTCACGTTGTTCATGATGACTTGGCACTCCTTTGAAAAATAAAAAAGAATCCATTGGTTGCGTTGAAAAAATTTGTTTGGAAATGCAGTATAAAATATATTAAATTTAATTTTTTAAATTTTAATATATTTTTTTATTTTTAGATTGTTTTAATTATTGATTTTAAAAATATTTTTTTAAATGATAAATATTTTAAAAAGGAAGACTTACCATACTCTTTCAAACACCCTAAAACTTGATATGGCAAAAAAAAGTTAATTTAATGACAATATTATTAAAAGTACAGATGAATTATTATCGTTATCATTGTTTTTATTATTATAGAATTTTCTTATATCCTAAGAATAGGTAAGTCAATTAAGAGAATTAAGAGAGTTTGCTTAATTATTTATCTGATATTGTGGTAAGTACTAATATACTTTTTGTTTTTTTAATATTAAATTAATATTCTATAAATATATGTTTTTATAATCTTGATATAGTAATAGAAAAAATAAATAATTTTTTTATATATTTTTCAATTAAAAAATATACTACACCGAATTACCAAACATACACTTCATTTCTTGTTTTGCCGAGTTTAAGTGTTGTTGATTGGTATTTGAAAAGGTTTTATTTTCTTAAAGACACTATATCATGAAGAGCTGTTGTTTCTTGAAGATAATTAAAAAGATAGTATTAGTCGTTTCATTGGCTAATCCAGGAATATTTTTAACAATCGCAATAAAAAATAATTCCCGTCATGTCATCAAAAAACACTCGTGTTTGGAGCGGATGTATCTAAGTGTATAATTTCTCTGTTTTTTTTTTTTTTTTTTTTTTTAATTCTAAGACGGTCTAATTTGGTGGTAATATAGTCAAACTGTGAGAGAAAATGGAATGTTAAAATGGATTACACTGCATGAATTTAAGTTGCATGTAATGTAATGACGAGGACAAGACCCGGTGCTTGTTTAGGATAAGTTAATTTGTTACTGTTTTTTAAAAGTGTTTTTTAAAATAAATTAAAATATTTTTTTATTTTCAATACCATCACTTCACAACCATAAAAAAATATTTAAAAAATTAATTTAATAAGTTTTAAAATAAAATATATTTATGAAATACACACACAAACAGAAACAACCATACTCTAATCAAGCCATAAAATCCATGAAACTACCAGAACAAAAGTGGCAATGAAAAAAGAGGTCAAAATTAACATGAAAAGATCTTGCAAGTCAAAAAATCACGAGGGCTCAGTCTGTTCGTAGCCTCTGCTACGATGACATGCCATGATCCGAGTGAAAGCGTACTATTTCTAGGTCGGAAAGCATGGATGGAAAGAAGGGAATCTTGCGAGAGAAGCTCGTGGGTTTGCACTTTTGCCAAAATTAGACTCATTTGTACAAAAAGCAGCACTGAAAAATGAAAATTAGCGGTGGAATCGATGGCATTTGCCGATCGGCTTACTTGCTCAAAAATAAGAACAGTTAACCATCTAGGTGGTGGCGAAGTGGTAAGAATTTGAGATCAAGGGGTTTATAACGCCTCAAAAATAAGAACAGTTAAATAATTTTCTGTCAGTCCATATGTCAGCTTGGCCCCACGTAAGCACACACAGCAAGAAAACGATGGAAAGATACATGTACGATCCTCAAGCATGTACTCATTTTAAATCTAGTCCCCCAAGTCCTAGTTTTAGTATCTAGCCCTTCCTCTGTCGTAATCTATACATTAATGTTCCCAAGGGACGGCATTTCAGTTTTGTAAAATCACAATCACCTTCTTTTTTAATTGATTTTTGCTTGAAAAAACATTAAATTATTTCTTTTTGGGTGGTTTTAGATGATTTTGATTCGATGATATTGAAAAAAATATCTTTTTAATTTTTAATATATTTTTAATTAAAATAAATAATTATAAAAGCACCCGCTGCATCACCAAACAAGTATACTAGTTTAGTTTGTGACATTACTGTATATTTTTTATTTCAATAATCAAGATAGACTAGGTGAGTTTTTGTACGTAGAAATCAAACACGTCTAAGCTGGATTTTAAACAGGACATCTATCCATATGTTGGTTTGCTCTTAAAAAATTACAATATATTTGAGGCTTGAAATGCAAATCTGTTGCAATTTGGAGGGTGTATATGTAGTTTTACCGAAGAAAAAAAAGTCGCGACTCCCACCCGCCCTACACCTCGATCCACCCCGGGCTCGCACGATGAAAGGGCTTTTCTAGTAGTTGAACTTGAACAAAGGAGAGAAATAAATAGCATCTGACCACAAGACGATAAAAATAAAAATAAAAATAATAAAAGAAAAGAAACCTATTGGTCCCTGAAGCTCTAATTTTAGCATTCTAGCCCCTCGTCTACCGTAACATATTTCTAGAATCCCAACTACGTGTGTTTTCTTCGCCAATAGAAGAAAAATCATGGAACACATTTCTCTTGGTCGATTTAAAAAAACTTGAGCAGGGGCCTTATTTGAAATTATAATTGAAATGCAATAGTGATAAGATAATATTTTGTTGGGATTATATTTTTAAAAAGTGATTTTTTAAAAATTATTTTTTAAATTTACCCAAGCACGATGTTAACTACAATTCAAAATATATAAAAGTACAACATTAACATGTAATACTTTTTTACCCCAACAATTAAGATATATTCTATCAATAGTCAAAAATCAAGATATATTCTATCAATAGTCATAAATGGGAATAAAAAAATTAAGATATATTCTATCAATAGTCATAAATGGGAATAAAAAAATTAAGATATATTCTATCAATAGTCATAAATGGGAATAAAAAAATTAAGATATATTCTATCAATAGTCATAAATGGGAATCAAAAACATTTGCGCTGTGATACAAACAAGCCAACATCCTCCCAGAGGAATCCATCTCTCCAATCCTAATTGGATTTGAACAATGACGTCAATGCTAAGACAGTTTACACAGTGTTTTTTTTTTTAAATTCAATTTTTTATAAAAAAATAATTATTTTTTATGTTTTGAAATGTTCGAATACACCAATTTTAAAAATAAAAAATATTATTTAAATATATTTTAGTACCAAAAATTCTTAAAAAAAGCCATAATTATATTCCTTAAGTCATGTACACACAGATGTAAGCCCCACTTATTTTTGTAACATTTTTCTTATTTATATACATATATATTATAATTCTATTCAAAAAAATTTCTTGAAATCATAGACAAGAAAATACTATGATTTGTAGTGTTTTTAAATCTATTTTTTAAAATTGTAACCCCGAAAAATAATACAATAACAAACACATACTAAGTGGTGAAATATAAAATTGAAACAATTTAAAGGATGTAGATGTAGTTTACCAAAGAAATGAAGGGCCATGACTCACACCCACCTGACGCCCCATCCCCCACACTCAATGAAAGTGCAAGTAGTAGTGGAAGAAGAAAGAAAGAAAAATTGCATCTGACTATACAAAAAGAAATGAAAAATAAATAAAAATTCAAGAAAAATAAATTTAAAGAAACAGAATAACTGGAATCTACTACCAGACCACAAAACCAGCTCCCATATATAAACGCTCCCTCCCCCTCCCACACGCACCCCTTCTTTAAAAATCTCTCATCTCTCTCTCTCTCTCTCTCTCTCTCATTTCTTTGCCCATCACCCCCAAATCTCCTCTTCACACACGCTGTCTTATCTAACCCTTCTCTCTGTACAAATCCCAACTGGGTTTTCAGTTTTTTTAATGATGGAGGAGTGGGTGACAGCGGCGATGGCAGACGAGACAGTAGTAGCAAAACTACTACTCCGTCTCAAACAATCACAGGCGACGGCATCAGCTTCCGCGGTGCCAGCGGTTATTCCCTTACGATGGGGGATGCGGCTTCCGAGGTCAAGGCCGGGAACGATGACAGCAACGAATTCTTCTTCATTGAGATGCGATGTCGTTTTGAAAAGCAAGGAAGGCGGCGGCGGCGGCGGCGATTCCTCTCCTCGATGCCGTCCC